CTTGAACTCTCTGCGTTCATCGCGTTCTCAGCAACTGCACGCTGCTCCAGGCCACGCTGAAAAACGGCCTCGCAGTGAAATGTGCACAGCTCCTTTAATGTGAGCCCTCAAACCGTGCAGACTGAACTGCACTCACATGTCCAGTGAGCAGGGGACTCACTAGCCAACAAAGACGCTTGTCAGTCGAAATCGCACCTTGAGCTCCTCTGCACTTTTCGCCGACTCGCGTGCCAGGCCCTCGACCTGCAGGCTGTCGAAGCAACGATTCCAAACAGCAAGAGATGGCAGGGGAGCGCGTGCGACGTACACGCAGCAGGGCAACGATGCGCTTTTTGCTGGCTCGGAAGGCGGTGGTGTCGAAGCGAACTAGCAGCCACAAGCAGCTGAAAGACTGCACTTGCAGCACAGGCAGTAAGTTGGCCACGCTGCAGCCGAAATTGGCAAAAGCGATAACGTCCCGGACTCAAACACAGCTCCGCCCCACTTAACACATTGAATCGTGAAGGTATGGCGAAGGTAGAGAGGCTTCCCGGTCAGAGACCTCTGGTACTCTAATTAGTTCCAATCCGGGCTTCCAACGTGCGGGACCTAGGACCTTGCGATGCATTGCACGAGCTGTCACTAGTGACAATGGGTGCGGACTGCTTCAAGGAGCCATCGACCCGACGGCGGAGACAGAGAGGAGGGGAGAGGCTCGTACCCAAAGCCTGGTGGCCTTGGCTTCGAGCCTAAGGCCGAGAGCAGGCGACGGCACGAAGCGAAAACGGAACTGCAACCGCCGTGCCCGGCAGGCTCGGCAGGCTGCTCGATTTGCCCTGCAAACTCGATCGGCATCTTACCGATCTGTTTGGCCGCTATTCACTGTTTGGAATGTCCCCATGTCAAGACGCTGACGTAGAATAACTAGAACAGGAAACATGGCTGCACGCAGAAACTCTGAAAAACACCAGAGCCACCAAATCAAATCGAGCGATTCGAACATCTGGGCACAAGCGTTAACAGTGTCTCCATGGCTCACCACAGCTCTTCCACATAACGCTGCTCTGTCTTCAGCCTTTCAAGGTAATCTGCGCTGCCCAGCGCAAGCTCTAGCTCGTCGCGAACCTGGAAGACGTGATGCCACCAAAACACACTCTGTTGACGGACCTCAGGAAGGGCTAGGCACTGAGCCTGCTTGCCCATGCTGGTGGCTCCACACACGTAGATGTAGCCACCGTCCGCTATCATCTGTTTCACCTGCCGGAGACATTTGCCGCAGCGGAGCATGGCAGAACAAGTATGCGCTGCCTCTGCTGACTTCTCCTTCAGCTTGTGCTGTACATACACCTTCCATGCTGCGTCAACAAGATCCGGCGGCAAATCAGACTATCTCAGCATCACCCTCGGCTCCTTCTCCTTCTGCTCGCGAGAAAACGCAGTTATCAACTCCTTGAGTGCCGGCGGCTTCATTTCCACAGCCTCGCAAAGCTCCTTCGCAACTGACAGACTGGTGCAAGGGCTGCAGCTGGTGGACCAAACGATGGGTAGTGGGTAGCTGTGGAGTGTCATCTGTATGGGTTTCATCGCAGACGAGTGGCTAGTTTTTTGGATGCTCGCATGCTCCAACATCTGTTGTGCCCTGCACCCTGTGAGAGTTCACGATAATAACCCAAAGCAAGAGAAGAAATTCTGCAGCACCCACGCGGGTTCCGGTTTTCTTTCCAAATTCGTGGCTCCCTCGCATTGCACGCCACTGCCGGCTCGGCAGGTCTCCACGTCCGACTAAGGACACAACTGCTGCAAAGCAGTCGACAGGCAGCTGTGCAGCCCGATTGCTGCGAACGGCTCTGTGCAATGCAAGAATGGCATGACATTCCCTCAGCTTGCATGTCCACACTTTGGACGTCTTTAGACCCTACAACTGAGATCTGCGAGGTACTGGCATTTGTGGCTGTCGCGCACCCTTCTCAGCAACGGTGAGGGTTAGGATAAGTGTGAACGGATTCCGGTGCCGAAAACATGCTTGAAGTACGATGCCAACATGAGCTTTCCGGGCTCTAGATCCCCAGCGAAGGTGTCTCTGTTCAAAGTGTGTTTTTGCTTAGTCTCCCGCATCCGGGCCCCCGAAGAGCGAGCACGAGAGGGGGCTATGCGGGCTCGTACGGACTCGACTTGAGCGCTGGAGCCGCAGTGTTGCCTCCTGGCCTAACCGTGGCACAGCAGATTTCTAGAGCAGATCCTTGCTGGACTGGTAACTCAGGGGCTGGTATTATTCAGCAGTTGAACATGCTGAACTTCTTTTTTCCAAGCTAGCTGCTAGCTAGCCGCTACCAGCCCCCAGTGGATCGCAGGCACATTTTTAATCTGGATCGGCTGCAATGCGTGAACGCTCCTCCTTGTAAATGAAATCCTCATCTCGCTTCGTGCATCCGAAGAAAAGAACGGTCTTCGTCCGGCACCTCGTCATCCAATCCGGCATAGATCAACTCCCCACCGACACTCGGATTGCTTCCGAGCCGCGCACCCATTCTCAGCTCTAAACTCACGCACGAAGCCTCGAAACGGTGCCAAGCCTGTGCCAGCGCCTTATTGATGCATGCAGCTTGCAGCAACCGGGTGCTTTGAAAATGCCTGAAAAGCATGTGCTGGCGCCCCTGCCAACCATCACAATCGGAGTCGTGGTGCGACGTGGCCTTTGCAGTGCCGAACATTGTGTGGATGGAATGCCTTGAATCCAATCACAACACAAGTGGAAACAGGCCAAGCGCGAAACAAGCGGAAGGTGGAAGCCCGTGCATAAATCCAGTGCTTTGCTCCGCAAGTCGTCCTGATTGAGCAAAGCTTCCAGCCATGGCCGCTACTGGCTTTATCAGCATGTCCTTGTGCACAGCATCTCAGAACACAGCCCGCGGAATCTCCTTCAAGAGCTCCATTTCTATAAAGCAGCACTCATTTGTTGACAATGCTCAAGAGCAGCATGCAGCACTGGAAGAAGGCAACGGCCTAGGTTTGACCGCGGTCTCTCCCAGCTTCTGCAGGAATGCATCAGCACGTGGGATTCGAATTCCACGGTCAGCCAGGTCCTCGACCAGGATTCACGCTTCGAAACATGCTCCAGTGCGGAGGCTTCGATGACATCTAATCTTCATAGCTTTGATAGCCATGTTCCCTTCCCACTGAATTTCGGCTTGGCGCCGACAAAGCCGACTGAATTGTGCCTTCTTTAGCCGTTTGTGTGGCGTTGGAGTTGTAAATGCATCCACAATGCGGTGGATACACCAGCTTCCTGATCTATCCTTAATGACTAACCCGGCTTCTGTCTAGAGAGCATTTCGACTGCTGACACCTCCGGCAAAAGCCGCAGCTGGACAGACAAGACACAAACGTCCAGAGGGCTCAGACAGAGCCTCCCTCTCAAGCGCGGACGGAAAAGAGGCAAAAAGGCCCGCAGCCGGCCTTCAGGGCCGCTTCTGGGCTCTTGGCCTCTTCTTGGACAAGGCTGACGCAGATGGCGATCCTGGCAGAGGACGTCTGCTGAAACGTGGCGCGCGCGGCGATGCAACGATGAAATCTCTGCCTGTTGGGGTCTTCCTTCGAAGAAGATGCTATGGTGTAGGGCCTTGGTGCAACTCACCCCAGGAGCACATGCTGCCGCAGGCAGCTTCATGAGGCGGCCTGTTCTTTTGTCTTTGACAAAGCTGTACAAAGGCAGAGAAGTCGATTTCGGCAGATGGCATAAACAACCTTGGGCGAGCTTGCATGAGCCATGGTAGCACAAACAACAGACTTGCTCTGTAGGCACTGCGGGCGCTGCTCAAAAAAGTCTCGCATACTCATCCGGCCATCGGCAAGAATCTGGAAAGCCTTCCAGAGACCAAAACAACTGCAGCCTGTGCAATTCTTCGCTGAAGCCATCCGGCCCACACGCAGTTGGATCAATCGTGGATTCTGGGGGAGCTCCATGTATCCAGCTGATTGTATGGCAGGGGCGCACCAGCAACAAACTCGAAACAACACAACGCCTGCCTCGCGGTCCTGCAGGAGGGTCTGGAGAGCTGCACTGTCTGCTTCGTCCCGCACGAAGGGCGCAAGGCGCTTGCAACAAGCCCTGAAGCAAAGCTGCAACAAGCAAGGTATAGCGTTGATGACCTCCACTCCAGCCCCCAGACACCTGTGTAAAGTGCAAAGGTCGCAGTACAGCGACAGTGCTACTTGGACGCTGCACGGTGTCGGGAATGGCTTCTTCACCTTGCAAAACAATCAAACTGCAATTAGTGCATTTCCTCTCCTGACTTACCAACTTCCAACAATTTCCGGATTTTGCCTCCCACCTTGCTAGGACAAGCCCGCATTGCAGGGTAGTGAAGGAAGGTCCACTTCGCACGCCTACACAGAGTGAACGCCCAGTCGCTGCTTTGCCCTCCCCACAGGACCGGATGAACGTCACGTGGCCTGGCTCACTTCAAAGCGCAGCTGCTCGCGTCACGAAAGCGAAAGCAAAACAAGCCGCAATTCACTTTGCAGCTGGTCGCCAACGCCAAGACGCTCAGCAAACCACTGCACCAGATCGTCAGGATTCTCGGGCAAGACCTGGCGGTGGTTTTGTGGACTTCATCAATCCGACTTGGGTTCGAGGTGTTTGCGTGCTGCGAATCACTCTCAGTCAGCAAGTTCACATTGGCTGTTTTGCCTTCCGCTTCGCGCAGGAGCCGTCATTGGTCGTGTGGCAAAAATCACTCTTCTTTCCATATTGCTTCCGGGGCTACAAACCTAGCGGGGTCTGGCGCACCTACTTTGACGACTGTCGAAGCTTCGAATCCGCAATGGAAAGCATGCGCAGAGCGCCCTTCTAACTATTCAAAAGCAGAGCCTTTGGCATCCATGCTTCTCCAGCATGCCTGGGATGTCCTCTGGACCCCTGCTATGCTGGCACGAGAACGATTGCTGGAGCTGACGGGCCCCCCCTGCATGTGAAGAACAGCCGCTGAACCAGTGAAGGTGGAGTATACAAATCCAAAACTTCACGCTTTGCTTTTGCAAAGGCGCCCCAGAGTCTCTCCTGTTGCCAGATCCATCCTTAGCTCTTCCCCAACAGCCCAGTGGTTGAGTGTTGAAGCAGATATCCAAATCAGCCCAGCCGAGGCTCTTGTACTCTAAGCCTGGAGGGCAAGCAGCTCCCTTAGGGACAGGCTGCCAGTCCTGCGAAGATTCGAACTCAGTCGCGATAGGGGCAGTGAGCAACGTGGGGCGCTTCATACGCTCGAGACCTTCCAGTACCTTCGAACTGCTGACAAGAGCACCAGTCGCACATCAGCGCTGCGACAGAACCGGGAAGTCATGTGAAGCAAGGTGCAATCCAACACCCAACTGTGCAGCGGAAAATCGTGGAACCAAGACCTATTTCGATCCGGGGCATGCATGCTGCCATACTGCGCACCTGCGTTGCCGTAAACTTGGGTCTGTCAGGATCCCCGCAATGCAAACGAATCCTCACGTGTCAAGTCTCTTGATGGGATGTCTAGGACACAAGTATGTGGACATGCCCTTGCCGTGTCCCGTCCGAGCGGCCCTTTGAGCGCTTGCTCTGGATTCCCTACAAAGTGCCTGATGAACTCCGCCTTGTTTAAGACTTCATCTGCCGATGTCCTGGCATGTCTCCCAGGTCCAATACATTCAAGTTAGAGGATGGTCTCGAAGCTGGCATCACAGCGTAGCAAGGAACGCGCAACAAAACATCGAACGAAGCTTGCAACGTATGAGCTCCCCAGAAACCTCATCTATCGAAGCGGAACACTCTCGAAAGCAGCGGAGTCACAAGAGGCACCACCGCCCTTCTGCAGAGCCCAGGCGGCCTTTGGGACGAAGTCGTGTTTCTAACAATTTTCATAATTTATGGCCCGTTTGTGGGTGCTCAGGCTCGGGTATTTCGCACATGTTACCGCACCTCTCTAAGCCTCTGTCTGAAAGCTGAACTTCGCCACAGGTGCAGTCTCAAGGTTCCCTGGCATGCCTTGGCCCTCAAAATCTGCTTGGATTTGCTCTAGATCGCTTCCAGAGATCTCAAAGAGGGTGCGGACCTCAGCATGGATCCGACAGAACATCGGGTGTTGACCAGACACCTATGACGCGGAAAGTGTTGCAACACTCCCAGCTTTGACTTCTTCTTCCCGCGTGTGTCCTCAGCACCTTCTGAAAGGCAGCGTTACAGGTTACTTCAAGACGATCCAGCCATGCCACGGCAGGAGACTTCTTCAACCCAATCAATAATTCCTTCCTTGTCAGCTTCCCATCACCGTTCTTGTCCACGAAACTGAAGATCCTCACGTGCACGTGTGCGAGGGCTCTGCACTTTGTGATGCGCGTGCGCGTGTAGATCATTTTAAGGACACTGCAAACAAATGCTCCGATCATCAATCTCCTATATGAATTAAGCGAGGCGTCTGGCCCAGCTGGGCCACCTGGAGGTCGGTCAAGTACCCAGGGCCGGGGCCCCGCTCGCCTCCTGTGGCTTTGTGCTGCACATAAAAAGTAGCAGCACAATTGCAAAATACTTCGGCGCTGCACTCTCCATTTCTCAGCTCAGCTCATGCAAGCGAGACCCTTGGGTCCTGCCATGCTTCTCCTGAGCAGCCAAGAGAGCATATCATCGCGTTGGAATCGGATCCCGCTATATAACAGCTAAGGCACTGTTCCACGGACTTCACGGATCGCAAAGACCCGACATTTAAAGGCGATGCCGGCTGTCCTGGATTCCAGGCGGACAGGTTGCAGTTGACTCAGGAATGGCAAGTTCGTGACGGGCCTTGCGCTTCCTCGGTGTCCACACTCGCCAGCGTGGTCGAGCTGCTTAAAGTGTTTGCTATGATTGGGGCCTCGTTGGAGGCGCTCGTGGTGCCGGTCCCATGGGTCCCATGTGTGCCTGTAGTGCCCCTGACAGCTCCCGGTAGCAAAACCTCACCAGTCTGCGGTGACAAGGCTGCCGATGTTGAGGTGGCACTTAAGCTCGCACAAACACTCCTGAGTCTTCAAGCAAGCAAGGCCGGATTATAGCTGCTATATTATCCCCAACCGAGACAAACCGAAACCTAAACCCTGTTCTGCAGTTGTGATGCAGACGGGCTTGCTCCGAAGGAGGCGCATCACGGTTCTCGGGAGCAGAGTTCCTCGGTCCAATTCCGAAAGAACTGGCATATTCCTGTGATCGACCGGTTCGCCAGGCCCTAGATGTCGCTTGACTCTGATGGGTGTTGTTTGCGACAATTGCTATTCGAGGTTCCTCATATACTCTGAAAATCACAGCGGACGCGTCTGAGTTGATTGCACTGGCACCTGCACCTGGAACATTTTCTCGGTAGCATTATGGTATGTTATAGTATAGTAAGTACTTCAACTTCAAGATGTCCCTGACGAGTGCGGCTTCGCCTCGAAGGCGCCACTTGGACACTCAAGAGTGAGGGTCATAGTGACACTGTGTGTGACATTGTGTATAGGCCACTCGCTGCTCTCGGCAGGGGGTCGCACGCACAAGCTCCAATGAGGACCGCATGCAAAGACGCAACCACTGTTTCAACTGTGTGCCCTGAAGGACCAAAGACCCTTCAGAAGACCTCATCTATCTTCGACCGAAACACCATAAACCGATCGCCAATTTCAGTGAAAGCGTGCAGGACCTTTACCGAGTCTCCTTCGCATTGCAGTCGCTCTTCCGGGTGTTTTCCTATAGCTGCGTCCATTTTCGATCCACGTCGCCTGCGGAGCCTTTGGAGCTCGTGGTCGCGACTTGGATGGGCTGGCAGGAGTTGGGGCGCTGGCCAGTGGGCTTGCCACAGGACTTGCCACTGGGCTTTCTGTGTATGACTCCGCCACGGCCGCGGAAGTCTCAATTTCGAGTTTTTCGACCTTCCGCGCCACCGACTCCGACGTCTTCGTGGTCCCAGTGGTGGCTTCTGATGGCGCTGGCGCTTCCTGTAAATGGGATTTTGCCTGGGAAGCGCCACATCCCATGGCAGTCTGGCCACTAGCTCCAACACCACGACATTCAGACCGGCCGTGTGGGTTTCCCTCGAGCACCACTAGCTGCGGGCACCGCCTAGCATGCACGGCTTGACTTCGACTCATGCCAGACTGACAAGCAAGTAAATGTCGGCCAAAACCGACACCGTCGAGAGAGGGGATGTTTTCAAGCTGATACTGGAACTCCCGCGATGGCCTCGAGATTATCTGCAGTTCGCCAGTCCACAGCTGGTAGCTGCTGCACGTTGAATTCAATGTGCTTCGTAGTCTTGCCTCAAGAGCCATCCTAAACGGTGCTGAAAGTCTCCAACTCAAGATTCATGGATCCTCATGCCTTGCTACCTGGAGGCCTAGAAGCCCTAGACTCCCTAGACGCTCTGCTGACTATGTGAACGCGAGATTGACGAAGAGGCAAACGGTAGGCGGAGCATGCTGTAGGCGCCGTACCGGCATCGGCATTAGGCTTTTGACGGAGCTCGTCGCAAACAGCGACGGAAGCTTGCGATGCCTGGAAATACCACCTTTGCAGTCTGTGGAGGGGCTCCGATCAAATGGCCACTGAGACATGGAAGTACTTGGTGCAAAGCTTGCCGAGAACGTCTGCACCACCGACCTTGTTCGGGCGAAGACATGGCATTGAGCTATTCTCAGCACAACTTCTACACCCTCCGCCCGAGGTGGGAACCTGCACCAAGGGGTCCACCGGCAAGTTCCTAATGTTCTGCGCAAGTTCCAGCTTCAGAGGAAGACGCTTCACGACCTGAGTGGTGGAAAAAACTGGCGCAGTTCCACTTTGACTCTTCCGAAGTATGGTGGAGCAGCACAGATCCTGTGCGCGGCACCAGGATCCTCTGCGGATGTTCACCATGACTGCATAGCTAGAACCCTCTCCACATCGGCCACAATTACTGCATAGGTTCGGGCTGAGGGTCAACATTGGCCGATGAAGAGTTCGGGCATTCATTCCCTGACGGCTCCTGCCCCAATGACAGAAAGCCTGGCGGGGTGAGAAAAGAGAGACAGGCAAGCAGACACAGACAGAGGGAGAGTGAGTTTGAAACAACAAGGACGCACAGATGCAGAGCCAAAGACGGGTATAGAGACAGAAGTGCAGACAGCCGACAGCGAGGCCCAGCGAGGCATATAGACGGGCGGCACGAAGGCACAAGCGGACAAACAACCACAGAAGCAACCACAAAGAACAGAGAGAGAGAGAGACACATATTTTCCTATATATATATATATACATGAACTGTATATTTATGTATGTATATGGTATAACACAAAATGTTATGATCTTATACAATATCGAATACTAAAACAAAACTATAATACAATAAAAGCGCCGAAAATATGAAATAACATAACATAACATAAGATAAGATCATATAAGATAGTGCTTGATGACACAATACAATGCAGCATAATGGTAAAGCAGAATAGGAAAGAGAATAGAATAGAGTAGGTATACAAACACATGCATACATATATTTATACATACATACATACATACATACATGCATATATACATACAGACATACATACATACACCCCACGCCCCCCCCCCTTTTGGTGTGGGTGGTGGGGTTGTTTACGTGGGTTGTTTAACCCCCCTCGTCCCCCTGTAATGTGGTGGTGGGTTTGGGATTTAACCCCCGCCCCCCTTGCCTCTCCCTGGTGGTGTGGTGTGGGTGCGGTGGTGGGTTGTGGGTTTCAGGCTTAGTGTTTATAGGCATAGGGTTTTGTTCAAGGCTTCCAGTGGCCTTGGGATTCGATGGCTCCACCATCGTTCGAATTGACAGACTGGCCATGGCTTCAAACGCACGACCGTCAAATTCCGGGGCTCTTTTCACACAACAAGCAAATGTCTGAGTTGTCGAACTGCCTTGACTCCTATACATGATGTTTGAAAAAGTCTTGGGCTGATACCGATAGCTAGTTGTACAGAGTTTGCTTAGCGATTCAGGAATCAGCTGGCTAGACATGGTCAAAAGCATATGGTGGCCAAGGGACAACATCTTTCGCAGTCTTTCCCTTGACAAGGAAGCGAAGACGAGCAATCCATCACACCGCACAGCATGACTTCCATGCACACATTTCCACAGGTTTAGGGTTTGCACCCGCATCCCCCCTGTGCATCCCTGTGGTGTGGGCGGTGGGGTTGTTAGGGGTTTAGGTGCGTAGATATGAAGGGGTTTTTAGGGTTGAGGGTCAGCAGCTGGGGACGGCGCAGACCGAAACCGTGGCCCCCCCTGTGGTGTGGGTGGTGGGGTTGTTTATGTGGGTTGTGTAACCCCCCAGAAGCCTTGAGCCAAAGCCAAACAAAGCGAAAATCGGCAGCGCAGTTGCACCGCCACCTGACCCTGGAGCAAGCACGGGTCTAAAGAGTACCACAATTGGGCATTCTGCCCCAGCCGCCGATTTCGTCAGCTATGCCCGTGGAGCAACCCAAGACTCGATGCATGTTGGCTGTTGCATCTGCACAAGTTGTTGCTGAAGTCAACACCGTACCTGTCGCAAGCGAAGATCATTGCACTGCTTGACAAAGATGCCGCATTGCCGGGAAATGATGGCGTCCACACTGGTATGGTGGTATTCCAAGTCTCGATTGAGACCTACGCCGGACCCCCTATCTCGTGGAGTAACTTTGCTCGGAATCAATCAGAGCGGTCGCATGTCGTATGCTTCGAGTATGCAATGAAAGCGTTGGCACGGCCCCTCATGTGCCCCAGGATCAGCCAGTGCTTTTGCAGCAGCAGGCTCGACGTACTGCGGCAAGCATGTCCCAGGTGTGCAGCTTCTTGGTGTGCTCACTTGCAAGATCTGTTTACGCAGCGTTCCGTCAAGAAGTGGAGATCCGATTTTCAAGTCAATCCGCCACATGCGTAGGCATTCCACGATCGCAGTGTCTATCCGTTGTGACATGGCCACGCACCTGTCGGGTTATGCTCACTGTTTTTTCACTACGCAAAGCGCCAAAATCAAAACAAACGTGTCTTCGTCTGGCTGCTTGCTTGCTTGCTTGCTCGCTGTCTGGCTCATTGTCTGGCTGGCTGGCTTGCTCGCTTGCTTGTTTGTGCATCTGTGCGTGTTCGAAGAGGAAGGACGAAACAGCCAGGGAACATGCGAGAAGCGGGAGGGGAAGGAGACGGAGAGAGACAAAAAGAGAGATGCAACCTGGGCTGAAGCTCCTGTGCTGCCATGGCCTGGACTTAAAATCCTCTACTCTACAGTGGGCCGTCGAATACTGTCTGCTGAGTACATTGCCGATTCCGCGGTCTCCACGGCATGCTCGTCCTCACCGAAGTGTGGAACCCCGCAACTCGCCCGAAGCGCTGAAGGCGTTGCACGGCTTCCAAAGGAGTCCTTGACATTTTCTGACCCTGCAAGGCCCAAAGCCTTCCGCAGAGCTGGCCACAAGCCATTCTCTCGCCACCTTAGCAGAACAGTCAGAGCTGCAGGCTGTAAGAACCAATCAAAAAGTGCAGTTCAAGGGCCCTGCTGTTCAAAGTCCTCTTCGATGTTTTGGTCGTCGTCGCCCTCTCCACGCTCGTAGACGCGTTCGGCACCAAGGCACTCCAATCGCTGATCTGCCTGAGCTCGCAGCGAGCAGCATCAAGGAATGCATAATTGGCCGCAAGTCAAGCTCCAGACAATTTTCGCACTTTGGTTGAAGTGGACGTACTGTCGATTTCCGCAACCCATGACGGTGAACTTCACTCCCTGGCCCAACTGGACTGCGCTGGGCGGGTCACGAGAAATTTCAATGCACATCGCTACACCGCGACAAATCTCGAAGAGCGCAGCCGCTTCAAGCCCGAGCTGGAATCAATGTCGTTCCGCACACCTACTTATTTGTACCACCCGTTAGTCACACAGCTGTTGAGCCAGATGCTACCTGGCACATTGTACCACTCCCGAACTTAACATCAAGGCCTTCAGGTAGTCTGAATCCACACTGTCATCAGCCAGCCTCGGCGGTAATGATCCGGCATGCTCCGGCAATCTTGACATGCTGCCACCTTAACCTAACTTCGTTTTGCCACCATGCTAACCACCCCATCCCGAGAAGCCTCTTACTGAGTATTCGCCCTGGCATGAGGCATACGTTCCTCCCCTTTGTATCAATGTCCGTAGATTCAGCATGCTTCGCCGTGTCGTGGCAAAGCGGCCACTTGAAGAACTCCGTGGCATTGTCCGTGGGATCTCCCTCGCCGTACGTGGCGAGCACCATGACTACGGCCTCAGACAACAGGACATAGCATGCCCAGAAGTGGCACAGGTCTGGGCGGGCTCTCCCTGTGCCTTGTGCGTCTTGAAAGTGTCTGGATCGAAGTCCTGGCACCACAAAGAATTCGGCAGCATACCTGCCTCGTCGAACCAAGAGCACATCCTCCAGATCGACAACTGTGGCACCGATTTCGTGATTTGCAGCGTCCTCTGCACGTGGCTCTGCGGCAGCTTGGTCCGTGCATGCACGCCAACAACCCATGTTGAAACTCCTGCTCTAGTTCCTGGGCGAAACCTTCTGCCGTCCCCGTCCTTTCACTCCAGATTGAGGCCAGAATGCAGGATGCAAACTCTTCGGCTCAAGTTTGGACTTATCACATTCACGCAATGGCAGACAAGCTATACCTGTCGACACCCCTACGTCCCTACGTGGCAGTAATCCGGAAACGCTGCCGCCAATGCAATAGCAATAGCAATAGATTTTAGTCACCCACCTGGCACACCAATGACAGCTCCGCGGGGCCACAACGGTCAACACTATTGCTGCAGTAATAGTAAAATTGTCGCAGTTATGGTCCTGGCATGGCCGTAGTAACAATAACAATAATAATCACAATAATAACAATGATAATAATAATGATAATGATGGTGGTGGCGACTGCGATAGCTACAGTATTAATAAGAACAATACTCATAGTAAGAATGCTGAATAATACCTGAGTGCTAGCAATGCTAATTCTAATTAATAATGTGTTTCGTGTTATTTGTGCTTCGCGTTTTGTGCTTTTCGGTTGTTGTTCAAGTTTGGCGCGCTGTTCGCAGACTCCGATTGCATACGCCATGAAAGAGACTCACTTAGGGGTGGCTTGCGCACGGCGTCTCAGCTACAGTATGCAAAGCTTGTCAACGGATTCGCTCCAATTGGGACTGCTCTTCAGAGCCCGTATGAGTCGCGACATCTCTCTGCTCCGTGCAAGGTAGCCCGGGCTTCGGCGACAGTTCTGAAGTTCTGCATACTGTGCATCACTGGCGAAGCTGCGACTGATCGCAGACTGGGAGGCCGTGAAGGCCGACAACCAAGGGACGAGCACTGGCACTAAATGACAGTGAAGTTGTCCAATGTGGGAAGGCTGACTTCTGAAAGGAATTTCACTACTTCACGGTCCAAAAGAGGTGCCGATCGTGGGCCCGTTATATTCTGATTGAAAGACTGCTCGTGCAGCAGCAACACCGAGAAGTCCGAGAACAAGTTTCTGCTCAAGCAGCTGCTTCGTGCTATCCCAGGTTCTGGGAACCGTAGTAGATCCAAAGAGCATCCGCAGTGCCTGAAGCGAGTCGCAACAAACTGCGCACAAGTCGGATCTTTTCAGAGTCTGCAACAGCCTTGGCTGAGGGCAGCACCATTGGATGCCTTGGGGGTCGCCCAGCGGTTCCCCGGCGATTTGGGGCTTCCTGGCTCCGCAACCTTTCTCTTGCTCGATCCAGTGCCCTTCACCCAGAGCAAACGGCAAATGGCGACCTCGAGTGCAAAAGCTTCGATGCCGAAAAGCTGCTCTGCGAGAGCTCTTTGCGGAACAGGGAATGCAATCGCTTCCATGCGTCCGGCCGTGATTGCCAAAGCTGCTCCAAGTTTGAGCAGCTCGGTCGTGTCGGTCCTGGCAGCCGCTTCAGGTTTTCACCTGTGTCCCTTTCTGTCAACGGCTCGACGAGTCTGCCAAAAAACATCTGCAGCTCATCGAAGTCTTGAGCTGAGTGCTCGTGCGCAGTGACTCAGTCAGGCCAGCTGGGCCTCATCGATTCGGGACAGCCTGTGCGACACGAAACGCCTGCAGCCGGTGTGCACACGAGTGGCCCATGCAGCGATCAAGGAAACTGACCGACCCAGTCAATGAGCCTCGCAGATTCGCACAGCTGCCGCCCCTCCACTCTCGAGCCAGAAATGTTTTGGGAAACAAGGCGTGCTCGTGTGGTTCACGATGCTCCTCACCTTTGCGTGTCTTGCTAGCTGACACTTGTCGTAGCTTCAACATCGTCATGCCGACGGAGGCTCACGCAGCTCCAGCTCTCTCCGCTCTCTCTGCGCCTGCACCGTGCCTAACCTGTCCAGCTTCAAGCTCAAGGCTGGGCTTTGTCTACCTGCCAGCCAGAGGCTGCCAGGGCCAAGAATACCCCCGCCCCGTGGCCCTTGCCCCACGGCGTGCCCTGCCAGTCAATCGGGCGAAGGAGATCGACGAGGTAGTTGTTGTACAGCTCCATCCTGTCGCCAGTCAACGCAACTCCCCCCGACTCACCAGCCAAAGAGCATCTTGTGAAGCGTTAAATGAGGCTCACACATGGACCCCATGACTGTAACATTCGCCTCGGGAGCTTGGAAGATGAATCTCCAAACGTCGCCACGCACCTCCGAATTTCTTTGGCTCCCCACCTGAGGTCGCACGTCAACCTGCCAGTTCGCACGTCTTCTCGGCCTTCTGATGATGCCTGCCTCCCTACTCCCGCCTGCGCAAAAACCTCGCCAAACATCCTCTGCGCCAAACCATCTTCTTCTGGAGTCCCATACCTAGGCCACAGGCCCCCTCGGAGGGCTAATATAAGGAGCAGTCGCTTGAAGGTGAAGCTTCCCGTTCTTTGCTCTCTCCTCCACCGTGTTTTGCACTGCCTTGCTTGCGGTAAGTGGGTTCCAAGTGCCTTTCTGCTGCTTGTGGGATATCTCGGGTCTGGCGGCAGCTAGGATGATAGCCGTCCATGCTTTACGTGGACAACATCCACAGCAGCTCCTAGGTTGGAGCAAGCCGAGAAGGCTTACCTTTCTAATGCGTCTGCCAAAGAAGATGGTCGGACGGCACAGGTAAGCTCCCGGCATGGTGTAAGTCTTGCCAGCGCCAGTAATGCCATAGCAAAACACCGTCACCTCGAGAATTGATCGTTTCTCCCCACCCCACCCCACGTTCACGTGCGTCGTGCTGCCAGGGGCCGAAAGCTCTTGTCAAAAACCTTACGCCCCCAGCATCTGACCCCTTCTGCACGCTGCAGGCTTGAAAGCGGTTTGGAAAAGGGAAACCCTTGAGGCCCTTGAACCCATGCAGGGCTGCAGGTCTGGCCCCTGCCAAGGCCACCGAGGAACGTTCTGACCGTCCACAGCAGACTGGGCCAGGTCACAGCAATCCTCGAAGACATCAGCCTCGCTGATGTTAATCAAAACCAGTAAGCAAAGTCATTGTCGGATCTATTTGCGCTCTGCCTGCGAGTCGGAACTCCCGAAAATTCCATCCTCGGCTTCCGTTATGCCATCCGCCAGTTCTGGAGCGCAGAAACTGAGGTGGAGACGAATTCGAAAACGTCCCCAGTGCTACGAACCTGGAACATGATTCGTTTCTCGGCCAGTCCATGGAGAGTGCTTGCAGCCTCGAGGGTGCTTTTATCGACGACCTGCATTGCTTCCTTGTCACCAATCCGTCTTTCCCTGGAGTTCAGGGGCCTGACCTCATTCCCGACGGTTGAAGCTTCAACAAGCTTGCGAAATCAAGTCTCCAAAAAGGGCCCAGCTCGGCAGTAGACCCGCAGTTGGCCCTTCAAGTCCTGCCCACCCATCGGCCCGCTCTGGCATAATTAATGTCTGGCCCCAGTTACACAAGCGACTCCTGGTAGAGATTATGTAACCGACGCCGCTGCTGTTCAGCCGTGGCCAGCTCCTCCTGTCCAAGCTCGCGTGGAAGAGTCCCTTGAGCGGGCTGGGGCCGGGTGGGGCCTCGGACAGGCCAGCAGCTCGGCCCTTGGCGATGGCCTGACACGGCACTGATCTGTTGCTTCGTCATGTCCGAAAGGCCGAAGTCTATGAGCCTGTCGAATACAGTCACGGTCCTGCACCGGTCAAGTCGCAATGGCACACTCTCTGGAACATCAAACGGCCTGCTTCACTTGCTCCAAGGAAGGCCCCTCCGTGCCGAGATCTCGAGAGGCGAATGCGAGTGCCTCGGAGCTCACTCCTCTCTCTCCTAGTCCATCTTCGATGCCAGTGTAGTTTGAAAAAGCAATCGATCAAGGCCTCCGCGATCTCCTTGAGTGCGAGGTCCTGGAGCTTTTGAAACGCAAAGTCACTGGTCACCGCTGGGGTATCTGACGGATCTTCAAGCGCACTGAGACCCTCTGACAACCAAGCCCACAACTGCTCTAGTCGGGACCATAGCAGGGGATGCAACCACCTAATCTTCAGTAGCACTACTGAAGCGAAACGCCGGCCTGCGCGGGCACTTCACTTGGCAGCTCGCAGGATGTTTGCACGCCTTGTTGCACATGCTTCTTCCGCACCAGGCAACTGAAATAGTGGCTGGGCTGGCAGCCCACGGAGGATGATGTCGACACCTGCCTGGGTATCTGCCCAACACAGCTTCCGAATATCAGCGTCTCTCGCCCTGCCACAACTATGGATAACTAGGCAACCGACTGCTGGTCACTCCCAGTGTTGTCTTCCTGCACCGGACCGGACTTCGATCTCTGCTTGTTTGGATCTATGGACGGAAGGTGGCAGCATGCCGTTTTTGCTGACCGGAACGCGCCTTCTGGGTGGCATCAAGACCGGGGATCACTTGCTTGGGGGCAGCGGCAGCCTTGAAGAAAATGGCAAGCAATGTTCAGAGGCTTGGAGTTTTGAACTGTGCATGGACCCAACACGTGCATTCAGAGCTGTCCACCGCTACGGTAGAGGTGTGCACGGGCACCTGGCTAACCACCTGCAGGTGTCGTCACAGTGTCATGTGAGAGCTCTACAGACTGATAGACTCTAGACTCTAGACTTTCAAAGGCACTCAGAGCTCAGACTGAGAATGCCGGCCGTTGGACCAGTCCCAAACGCCCGACACTGTGAAGCAGCTTCAAACTCGGGTCTCCACCCTCGGCGGTGCGACACGAACTGTCCTGGTCAGAACAACAACGTGAAGCTTGTGCTTGGCACTGGATGTCATTGCTGCCATTGCTCATCCAATGTGCTGTGTGTCTCTGCGCCTTCGAACAGTAACGGGAGCCGCAGAGCAGGAACCAGAGCTGTGTCCATAGCCGCCAACATAGCCATGTGTGAGGAATTGCGCCTGCAGCCCACGCAACGTCAACAGACCTGACTTGATTCTTGATAGAGCGAGCTGGTGCCGACACCTGGGTGGTTTGACTTTGTGGAGCCGCGAAATGCTTCGGAGATTGAATCCTTGGGTAGCCATGTCGGCATGGCATGGACGAGGGCGATGCGGCAACGCCCTGCTCAAGTCTTTGTCTTTTGGTGGAAGATGTCAAAGCTTGGGCGAGGTTCTGGTGGAGGAGATGCTGGACGCGAGGCGACATAAGCGGCTGCAGGATCCTGGCATGCAAGTACAAGGCATTGGCAGAAAGCAAGAATCGAACACCTGCCAACATTGTGCTATGCTACAGCGATGTCCAATCAAGGCATCAATGCCCCCAAACAGGCAGGGACTGCTGGTTAGTGGCGGCCAGTTGGGCCTCCAAGCGCCTGCAAAGATCAGATTTAATTTCTCAAGAAGATGTAAAGTAAAGACATGCGAGGACATATGACATGGGCACATCGTGTTGTGGAATCGCGGCCGTGGCTGCCGCGTGCTGGGGCTGGCCTGGACTGGTCTTCCAGCTGCTGCCGGGCCGTTGCTGCTTTGACCTAAGTGCAGCGCCGAGTGTGCAATGCTGCTTTCTCTCTCTGGGTTATTTTGAAGCTGTAGTTGTTCCTTCGTTCCCGACTTAGTTTGGAAGATGATGCTAATGGCTGCTAATGTCCTACAGACGGTGCCTTCCTGAACAGGCAACTGCTGCAGATAGCACCTCAACCGAACCCAACATGTCCCAACTAAGCAGGGCTAGTGCTGCTGGATTGGAACGATGTTTCCATGTAACTCCACCTGGCTGATTGCTACTGCTGCACTGGTGTCATCAGTCAGTTCATCAGTCAGTACTGTCTCGCCCAGCCGGGATCCGTACTGCTTCTTGCCGCATGGCTTCTGAAGCAGCTGCAAGTGCCTTGCAATGCCCATTCGGGTGCATCCCCGGCTGTGCTACATTCCCAAAGGCATCGGCTGCTTGTGCTGTGGACACAATGGAGCTGTCATCACCTTCGGCTGCGCAAATAGAAAGCTCCAAGCCGCCGTCAACTCAACAGCTTTTCCTGCTGAGTTCAAGACTGTGGGCTGCAGAATAGTTGGTGTAGTTCGTGTGAGCCTCTGCGGATGTTCGGGAGCACGAGTGGCTGCGGTCTTCGGGGTCTGAAGATCGGGTCGGGCACACGACAGAGCGCCACGCTGTTGACTCGAAACTGTCGAAACTGCGACTAGATAACAACTGCGCGTGGTGACTGGTATCGTGCCCGACGCAGTGGTTGGAACATTCGATACCGAACTTGTAGCAGTCAGAATCTTGTAGTGTTTGTGCTTATCTTGTTCGTCCTCTTTCTGTCCAGCACTGAAACTATGGCAGCCGGAATTGCAGGAAATAAAAAAATCGTCTGCGATCGTCTGAGGCCGAAGGGCCGTGGAAGCAACAGAAATGCTCCTGAAAACGTTGTCTGACCTCGGCACTCCATGCGAAGCAGAAACAGAAGCAGAATAGATGTTGAGGGAGTGAAGACTGAACTGAAGTGTGCAAGTGCAATGCGTGCCGCCAGTTAAGCCCCAGGCAGGTGTGGTGGGACGACCGCAAAGCTGGGAGTCACGGCTCCGCTGGTGGGGGCACACAGCACTTGCACACGTTCTGCACCCCACTCCTTCGTGGGGGCAGGCGGCGTCTGGCTTGTGGCTCGCTTCGGACTGGAGCTAGGGCCGCTTGGGGCGTCATCCGGGAGCTCCTCCAGCTTGAGCGGTGCTGGTACGGACTTGTTGCCCGAGCGAAATCTAGGAGACTTGACCTCGTTGGGCAAGCCGAAGGACACTTTGCCCTCGCCACTTGGACTTCCCGATCCCGGTGATCGAGGGGAACCCCTCGGCGAAAGTCTTCGACTTTGAAGCGTACCTCTCAGCCTGCTCTTTGACAGCGGTGAGGGTGGGCCGAACATCTCCTAGTGGCTTTGATGGCCACGGTGGCCCAAAGCCACGGAATCTACTTCAGATGCTCGAGCCCGAAGCAGCAGTGGCGCTTTCAGAATGGAGTGGGAAGCAGCAAGATGATGTGACGAAGCAGACATGCGGTAAACAAGCGCAAATTCTCAGGCAAGAAGCCAGCATTCAGCTCTCGTGCGAGTTTCGCCCAATGCAGCTCGCAGTCTCGCCGAACACCCGACACTCCTGCATGTTTTTGCAAAGTGCACAGTTTCCAAAGCGCCAAAGCGCCCAATTTTCCGTGTTCCTCAGTGCACCCGTTACAAAAGGCTTCAATCTAGTGAATCTGTGAAGCGGGTGCCCTTCCCCTTCGAACAGAGAACTCGCTTGAGGATCACGCTTTGGGTTAGCAAAGTGCGGCCTTCGTTGCAGCACTGACCTGCAAGCTCGACTTTTTTACTTCCAGCATGAAGTGTCAAGGCTCTGCGGGCAGTCTGGCAAACCTTGGTGTTGCATGCTCCAGAAAGTAGAAACAATTCTACATGCATTTACGAAAGGAGTTTTGCTCGTATTGATCTGCACTTCAACAAGCCACAGGGCTTGAACCAGCTGGCCCACACAGTCGGCACCCGTAATCTCATCAATGCCACTCTGGGATCTAAGTGCTGCACACCGGTAGCAGTGAAGGGCCTCGCGGTGTAAACCTGGGTGCCGCATCGGGGGCATACCCATTTACAGTTCTCCACAGCATCAATATCTTAAGGGCTCTTGGTCCTAGACTCCGAGCTCCAAGCCCCAAATGCCACCCATCCCAATCCTCCCACACGAACCTCCAAATCACCCCAACCAGACAATCCTCGAACCCGAAAGCACTCGACTTGGAAATCCCTCACAGACCTCAAAAACATCCTTAACCTGAAACTATGGCGGAGTACTTGATAAATCTAAATAAGTTCCATCTTCACCCGTAACGTAAAACCTAATATTCAACCCAAAGCCTCAATCTCTCAAACCCCCAAACTCAGCAAGCACTGAACCGAAGCCCGAGAATTCCGAAACTCCCACGAGTCCTTCGGCCGGGCGGCGGGCGCCACATCAGCTGTGGGTTGTTCCTGGGCATCTTCGGGGCTGTAGTTTCGGGTTGCAGAGACTTGAGGGGTTCGACGTGGGTTGAGAGGTCGTTTGAAATCAAGGTGTCAACGAAGACTGTTCTAGCTCAATCTTACAGGGACCTGCCCTCGTTTGCATGTTCCCTACATACTAGGACCAGGCGAATCCAGACGGCGCTTTGGCCTGACAGCTTCTTCCAACATGTCAATGATGTCAATGGCCACATCGGCTTGCAGTGAAGCTCGGACGAAATCCATCCCATCCTCCTCCCCACTGGAACCGCAGTCCCGGAGGCCCTGCACTAGTGGCGCATCGCCGCAACGGTTGGGTGAAAACTTGCAAGCTTTCAGCCCCACCGCAGCTTGGCCCATTGTTCTCCGTGTACGGGTCTCCACTTCGACGGCCGCCCAGGCCGCGCAAAGCCGCCCTCCTCTTTGCAGCCCCTAGTGGCACGACGCCTTCTTTTCAGAGCACGACACACCGGAAAGCACAGGAGCACAGCCCTTTGCTGTGAGGGCCACTCCACTGTCAGGGAAGCAGTAGGCATTCCAGACGACACTCGCGCCAGGAGGCTGAGCATGTCTTATCGAAGTCAATCAGCAGGCTGCTGCTTCGACCGATGACCCGTTAGTCGGTGCTGCCTGGTTGTGGACAATTCGGACGAAGACTTAAGCCTGGATGTGTTGAATCGTCGCAGCAGGGCCGACGGCCGGGTACTCCAAGACGCGGGCTTCCAGACGATGAACACACTACCGCCATGAGGTTAAGCACAGCGTGCACAGGAAAAAACGAAAAGCCCGCACGAGAAGCCATGGCGACGGCGCAGTCGGGACTCGTGTTAAGCATCGCAGGTCAGCAAAGGCTGCAACACCCAGGCCAGCGAGATGACCAGATCACCTGCTTAGGTTAGCTGCAGTCCGGAGCCCAGGCTGAAAAAGCCGCGGCATTAGCGCAAGCTTTCGAAATCCACATCGGCTCTGCCTGCAACAATCGGAACGGTGGACATGGCCGAGAGGGCTCTGTATTGCAGAGAACACGGCATGCATCATGTTAATATACTTTCTCCCTGCCGACCCGACGGGCCCACTGCACTTCTTGAGCCCGATTGGTTTGCAGGAGTACGGCTGCACATTGGCGAGGTGCGACGAAACGACCACCCTGAGAGATGGGCATGACGGATGTCACAGCGGAGCCTGACGACAGGATGTTGCCAAGAGCTAGCTGTGCCGAAGCAAGCACAAGCTCAGCACTTTGTCGAAACTCTGAAGACCACAAACAGTTATGAGTCATGAGCCACTATGTGCTCCTGATGGACGGTCGTTGCCAGAGCGGCTGGTGAGGACCTCCTTTGTGGTCCTGAACTGGTTCATGCTCGCAACAGGCACAACGCTTGGGGCATGCTCACACCTGCCATCAACACTGAGCCAGGTGTGGAAGCCAGCAAGCATGAGGACGCATGGCAGCAGCACGGCTGCCTGCTACGAAGGCAGCATTCACCGCAGCTAGCAGCCAGCAGCCAGCATGGAGTGCTTCCAACAGCTGGGCAACACAGCACCGCTACACTGTCTTTTCCCCAGCCGGCAGAAGCTTCCCGGCGCTGCAGAACTTGGGAGGCGCACGGGAGTGCAGTCAATCGGGGGTCACGGCGAAGTCCGACGCAGATCCCCGTAAACTTGCAAAAACCCGTACTTGCCAAATCCGTGAATTCGGATGAATGACAAGCAAGATGCTCTGTTGGCAGCAAGGTTCGAGTCCTGCGTCACCCTTGGACCACCAAGAATTAAGAACCATCAATCAGCATGGCGCGGAGAGCTTGCATCTTTCACGAAAGCCTCGACCAACGTGTAAATTCCGGGGTCGTCGATACCCAAGTACTGACTGAACTCTCTTCCGTGCAGCTGCTGCAGATTCAATAGTAGATTTCCTGCTGCACTAGGCTCGCTGGAAAGATCGGCGAACGAATTGAGGAAGGTGCGGATCGTGAACAGAATGCAGGATGAATTTTGGCGCAGTCTGCGCAATGTTTGATATTCGACCTTCAGCCAGGCACTGTCTGCCAAGCCGTGAGTCAGGACAGCCTGACGCAGTCTCGTCAAGGACGCTTCTCGCTCTCGGGCTGAGATTCCCGGGTTCCGGTGAGGATATCGACTGTACCCGGCCATGATGTCGTCACTCCAAGATATGTTCCAGTTGCTGCGACAAAGCGGACGATCCGGCGACAACGAAGCGAAGATCCGATTAACCGGCTTCTCCAGATCAGCACCATACTGTGGGACTTTGGCATGCAGCTGGTTCATGTCCTTGCCGAACCTCTTGTGGAAATTGCTGAAACTGAACATGACGGACCCGGCGCACACCACACCATCCTGGAGCACGACGAGATCCTCACAGACAAGGCGGGATGCCAGCTCGATCGGGCATTTAGCAAAATCTCCAACCCGGTACTCTGCGTGCCAGTCATGAGCGGACGTCGTGACCACAGTGTCTGGCCCAAACTTGACGGAACCGTGCGAGACGCGAAAACAGTTGGGATACCTTCGGGGAAGGTACTCAAGCAGCATCTCCAGCACCTCCGCTTGGGCTTCGCTCGAGCCGGGCATCTGCAACAGGTACTTCTCGCGATCAGGCGACTCGAAGGTCTCGTGCTTCCGCCGTAGCATTTCTCGAGCTTCTGCAAAGCTTCGAAGTGCTCCTGGGCCTTGGCTGCAACGCAAGCTTGCATAGCTGAATAGCAGCAAAAGGCCCTGTTTTCGCCTCGGCGCGGCTCTCACTTTCGGGTTGCCAAGCTGCCAGGAATGCCTTCTTCCACGAGGATCCACTCGCTTTCGGGGAGCCGGTGGAGGTTCGGTTTCAAGCGCCCGGTCTTCGGGCTTACCGTCTCTGTGAGGCCTCGGCCTTGGGCGATCAGACACGGCCACAACGGAGTTTTTCCTGCGTTTCTGTGGGCACTTTCGATAAGTCCAAGCAGCTCAACCAGGTGAAAGCCGACCAGTGGCGGACTCCGCTTCGGGAAGAGGAGACAAGGCGAAGAGCCAACATTGCGGGAACTCTTTACACACTTTCGCCTGCCTGCAGTCTCTGCAATTGGGAAGCCCAAGCCGAGGGCAGGCATCCGAATGCCAATGACAGCTACTTAAATCCCGCGATATACTTTGGCAAGACCCTCCAACCCGACTCGGTCGTGAAAAATGGCAGCAGTGGGCAGCATGAGCGGTTCGAGTTGAACTGGCTTTCATTCCGTCAAACATCGCCAACCCTGCTGAGCTGAGAAGTGTGCCGGTGTGAGGGCCTCAGCGCAGTGCCGACTGATTCGCTGCACGTGGAAGTGCTTTCGTTCGGCTCTGTCGTAAGGTCATAAGAAGCAGCCGATTGCTGAGTGTGTTGCCGGCGTTGCTGGTAAGCGAGCCCTTATACAATGCACAGCCTGTGACCCTGCCATGCAGAGGCTGATGCAAGCAAGAGGAGCGTTAGCATCTCGTCCGAGATGCCTCCAGCCTGTGCGCACACGAAGAAACCGCTACTGGCGCACTTGCATGCATGGCTCTTGGGCAAAGACAGAGTGCGAGTACCACAAGCCAATGCCAGAGAGCTCAGCAACTCCCAAGAAAGCAATAGACCTTCAAAGGTCACTTCCAAAGCACCGAGTAGCTGTGGACCCCGAGCTGACAATCTCTGGCTGGTAAGTGCCAGGCACAAGGAAGCTGGTGAAGAACACGTAGTTCCTGCTAAACATGCTGGCACCTGCCCTGCCCTGACGAACGACAGAACGTCCTTTGGCCAATGCAGTTGTTGACGAACGGGCAGTGGTGATCAAACCTGCGTGCAGTTCTTTATTTTCGGGCCTGCAGGCTTCAGCAGAGCAAGGGGTGCTAGCTGGACGTCGATAAAGCCGTGCTACTCGTCAACTGTAAGACAGTGCGAGCCCAACAATGCAGTAATCAGCACATGAGGTGCTGCTGGAAACACAACACATGACTGCAAAGGCTTAGGCCTGAGGCATTAATGACGCTTGCGACCACGAGGATGTCAAGGTTGGAAAACGACCCGGCGCGAGGAGTCTGGCTGCAGTGTGGTTGGGTGCGTGCTTGCCCTTTTACCCTCCACTTCCCCCCTCCCCCCATGCACACCAGCGACGATTCTAGTTGTAGATGCCTCGAGTTCCATGCGCGCACCGTTAAAGCAAGCATGGACTGCTCGCAAAAAAAACAAAGTACCAGAAGACCTAGCGGCCCTAGCGCTAGCGGACTGCCCGACCAAGGGACGCGAGGACTGATGGGATAAGGTAAAGACATGGTGACCAATAAAGTCGAGTCCAAGCGTGCTTTTGTCCGCCACGTCTCAAACATGCAGCTCTTCCGAGGATTTGAATATATCGAAAGCTTAGGGCTTAGGGCTCTAGTCAAAATGTCCTTCCTTCCGTCCGTCCTTCTGCCCTTTCTTCCTTTCCGTTCATCCGTCCGTCCTTCCTTCATTGCTTCCTTCCTATTGCCCCCCCCCCTCTCTCCCCTTCCATTCTTCCCTCCCCCTTTGATTGTTTGCTTGCTTCCTTCCTCTCAGACCCGAAGGCAAGAAAAAGACTCCTCCCCAGCCCCACTCCTTGCCCAAAAAACACACGAAGGCAGAACCAGAACGGCATGCTCGCACCCGGTGCGATTGCAGCTCTCATTCCTCTCCATCCCACCCATCCTCGCGGCCCCCGGCGTCAACGTTCGACATGCCGGCCATTTCCGACAGTCTTCGCAGCCCCGTTGCCCGTTCGGCTATGAACTAATTAGAGTAACTGGAATTCAACATACAAAAGAGAGCAGCGCTGTAGCCCCGCTACTCGGGTCAGCGGGGAGAGGATAGACGACATAGAAGAGTGTGGCTGAGAGTGTGTTGCATGCAATGCAATGAATGCACCCTGCTTCCGGCGCCTCAGGACGCAGTTGTCGCAGTCGCCTAAGAAACAGAATCAGGTCTGGCCCTCACACCACCCGCCCGCCCGCCCCCACAGTCACCTATTGGTTTATTGATTTGAGTCTACCACGACAATGCGAGGCGCGAGGTGGCCGAATGATGCGGCACGTCTGACAGAACCTGCAGGCTGCAGCACAGCTTCTGCACAAGCAAGGAGGGAATACATGGAGAGAGCGCGAGGGAAGTGGAGACTTGTGACATGCATTCACTACCGGAAACAATGAGAAGTCCAAAAACACTTTGCGTTCGTGTAAGCTCCCGTCTGGTGCATCCTACGTTTCGCCGAACGTCCTATCAGGACGGATTGCACTTGTGGCAGTCGTAAGGTACAGGCACACCACCTAACCACATTGAGTGGTCTCTTTTGCAGGTGCTGCGCTTGGGCCTAATGCCGTTGCTACTGCGTCTTCTTCTGCAATTTTCTGCACATGCAAACCGCGTGAATCATGTTCATGCCGTCAACCTCAACAACGTAATGCAACGCCGTATTTGCAGAAGTGGCCGAATGTGAAGCATTCAAACTCAATGTGTCTGCGAGGCTCCGGTGTCCATGACACCATGCACATGGGCTTTGCAAACAAATGACTGGCAGCCGCCGTTAACAGTGCAACCAGGAAATGATTTCGCATCTTGCTATTATGCTCGAAGACCTCGTGCTGTTCTGGAACGGCTCTCGGTGGCTTGCCAGGGAAACAAAATGAAATTGAAAAGTTGCTTCCGCGCAGAGAACCGCTGATTCTGCTCGAAAGTCGAAAGCATGCTGGCACGGAGATGTAGCTGGCAGGGATAGGTGAACTATGCTTGGCCAGGCGATATGCATTTGCGAAACCTAGAATGAAACATCTCGGGCGTGCTGTCGCGACGGCCTTCGGCGCTCGGACAACACAAGCCAGCGGTGAAGATTGTGTGAAGGCTGTTCATGCCCAGAACCCTGAGCTTTGAGGGAAACTGGAAAGCTTCGGACAATGCCTTTAGCAGTGCCTGTTTTGAACCCCAGCCATCTCATCAGTCACAGACATTTATGGCTGTGTGCAGGAAGCATCACAAAATCAAAGCCGCGTGTCGGCAAACTCGTTCGAAAGTGTGGACCTGGGAATTGCTTTTGACAGCTACTTTTTGAGTGATAATCAGTGAGGTGGCACAGCTCAAGCTGTCTTGTGGTAAAGCGCGATATGCTCCAACTACGCAGAGGCCTTTCAAAGGATCCCCGGCTGAACTGGCAGCTAGGATGCGGCTGCCGTGGCCTTCGACTTGGCATTCCTGGAGCTTGGGGAGACACGAGCCACTTGGGCCCGAAAGCGGCCAAAAGCAAATCTCTAAGGTAAACGGGTTTGCCTGGAACTCTCAAGTACATACTGACACAGATACTGACTGAGTTTCCTGGATGACCCAGCGCGAAGCTGCCTTCTGCCATGGAGCTCACCTGTCGTCGGACTCTAATGGAACTGAAAAGAACAGTGTGGACATCCAGGAGCTTTGAACGAGCGGAACCTTTCGTTAATGTCTTTCCGCTTGTCTTTGACCAATGTCCACGGTCTGGTCTAGGTGTGCACAGGTCCAACAGCGGCCTCCACCTCTTCAAGCATCCAAAAACTGCGGCTTTAAGATCTTGCATGCTGTAGTCGACATGCAGGAGTCACCAAATTATCGAGATAAGTTCTTGCGGTTCGTGTGACTCGAAGTCTGTACATTGCAGAAAAGGTGTCGGCAAATATCTGGCGCCCACGGACCAAGGCTTGCTCTGTGCCCGAGGGACAGATTGCATGTCTGCGGCGTTCATTGTCACATGCTGTCCCTTCAACCAGATTTTAGCAACTCTAGCAGGTTACTGATACTGTTGCCTCTGCCCGCTCAGAGTCAAGATGGTTGTGCTCTCCAATCCGTGCTTCGTCGTGCGAGCTTGTATCAGGGTAACAGATCAACTCCACAGTCCAAGAATGTCGAGCGGCCACCCCGCCTGGTCAGAAGCCGATGCATTGGAAGGTGTATGTCTCATGGACTTCGAGGTGGAAGCCGCCTCCTTGCAAGAGAACTTCGCTTCTCGTGACATTTGGCCAGGCCCGGGTGATGGCTGAGCCCTACTAAGCACAGATGCCACGTGAACTCTAGTCTATGGAGTCTGAAAAAGATTCAAAGAACTCGTCTCGACTCTTCGACTTCAAGAGCCGGTCCTGGTCAAGGTCGTCTTCAATGCAAGCCTTAACAGAGCTGGGCAGGTCGGGCAAGTCAGCAGAGCCACAGCCACATACTGTCACTTCTGTCACTATATTGCTTTCGAAGCGCCGCTAATAGTTCGCTCATCTTCAGCTCCTGTTCCAGGAAGCGGGCGTGACACAGAGCGGCTGGGCTAGGACTAGGACCTAGGCATGGCGGCGTCCGTCCTCAAGTTGCTTCTGCTCCAAGGTTGACTTGAGTATCGGAGCATCCATGTGGTAGCTCTTCGGGTGAGTTACCTGCTTCGCTTTAGCACTGAAATGCACTGGGTCATTATATTCAGCACAACTGGCAGCATAAGAACGACAGGCAGCACAGCCTCCTTCGGCAAGTCCCAAGCACATCCGTGCGTGTCGCTGAACTCCTCACATTCAAGTCTGCAGCGTCTCTGACTTGGCGCATGCCATGCCGCCCCAGCCAGCCCTATCAAAGGCAGTGAACCATGCTCTCACGGACAAACACTCTTTTTGCCTCATGCCGCAAGTCAGCACTGCAACAGCTTGTTTTACATACACTGGGAGGGTTGATTCACTCCTTTCACGCATGTTTTCCCTCCTTTGCATTTACACATACCTGTAGCAACAGGTGAGAGTGGCTTCGATCCAACGCAGGTCACTGGCATAGTGCTCATGTCGAAGATGTTGGTTGGACGGAACACAGCCGCTGGACAACCGTCCAAGGGATTTGTGTCACTGCATCGCTTCTCATAAACACAACAGCTCGGGTCCACCGTGCCGTCTGCCATTCTGCACTCAGCGGGGACCACTGCGCGATCTGCATAGTTCAGTGCCGCCTTCAAACAACCTAGTGACTGGGTCGAACCGTGGGAAGACGACATCAACTCAGTAATGATCGTCATTGCTTGG